GCAGTGATATAGTGTTCACCCAAAATTCATGTCACCTGGAACTTCTGTGTATGACATTATTTAGGAATAGAATATTTGTAGATGTAATTAATTAAGATTAAACACCATGTCTGCCACAATACTGAAAAGTAAACAACTGATTTATTTGCTGCACCATATTTTTTGTACGCATGATAGTGCTGGGTCTTTTTTTTTTATATATGAAAATGTCAGTCATTTCTCGTGTGAGTTTAAGTCATGAGTATTCTTTGTAATTACTGCTACATTAAGGCTTATTTGTTATCTCAATTTCTGTTCTCTATTTTCTAGTTTTTATTCTATCCTCTTCCTTTTTTCTCCTTTGCTACTTTCAGTTGGATGGGTCAAAGTTACTTCTGCTAGTTGTGAAGCTTGTGTTCTACTTTCTTCTAAGTTATTCCTAAGTTAAGACCCATATTTAGATTTGTTTTTCTCCATCAATCTCTAAATTTAGTCAATATCCTCATCTTTTTTTTCCAAAGAAATCAGTAACTTAGTATGCTTTTATACCCTTTGGTCTACATCTTCTATCTTTCTATCAGTCTGCCATGTTCCTGGGATTCTTTTTAAATTGTTTTATTTTTATTTGATTTTCTAAGTTTTTTGACTAAGGGGATCATTGTGTGTATTAATGGAGTTCAATATCCTACTTCAGTACAGGCACACAGTGTGCTCTGATCTAATCCGTCCGGCCTTTTATATGTCCTCCTCTTCCACTCTCCTATAATATTCACTATTCCACATCAGGTCAACTTTTTTTTTAATTCACATGAGAAACATGAATTATTTTTTTCTATATCTGGCTTATTTTACCCAACTTTATGTGCTTTGGATCCTTCCATTTTGTCACAAAAGACAGGATTTCATTCTTCTTTTTATGGCTGAAGAACACTTCCTTGCATATGTATACACATCTCCTAGATCTTCATATGTTTTTGCTTTTGGATATTGCTTATTGAAACAGCAGGCCTCACTAAGTTTCTTTCTCTCCTATAATTTTCATAGCAAATAGTTTCTCTGGAGTCATCATATTGTAGAATATTTTCTCGATAGGTATTCTCTAAGTATTTTAATGTATACTGTATCTTTTGAGGACTTTTATACCAGAGAACATTTTTGCCTTACCTCTACATTTCAGTGAGGGTTCAGCTGCATTCCTTTCTTTTTTTTTTTTTTTCTTTTTTTTTTGGTACCGGTAATCAAACCCACCACTGAGATATCCCACCCAGCCTTTTCTATTTTTATTTTGAGACAGAATCTCAATAATCACCTAGGTTTACATCAAACTTGAAATCCTTCTTCCTTGAGTACCTGGAATTATATGTGTATGCCACCACAGCTGGCTCAATTTTCCTTTTTAAGAAATACTATTTTTTATAGTATTAGAATACTATTAGAAACTATTATTCTAATATTGTTATTGAGAGGTCAAATGTGAATCTGATTCTTGTTCTTTCTAAACAGTTTGCTTTTCTCTCCTTAGAATTATTTCCTTTTCTTAAATTTTCTTTAACGTGTCAAAGTGTTCATATTTTCCCCATTAGCTCTTTTGCTTGATACACAGAGTCTGTTCAATCTTCCTTCACTGTGGAGAAATTTTAATTAGCAGTTTTTCAAATATTTTCCTTTTTTCTTTCCTTCTAAACTCCCTATTAGTCATACTTATTGATACTTATTCTAATTTTCATACTTCTTAATTTTTCTCTCATTTTCCCCTTTATTTTTGTTGCCTTCTTGGATATTTTAAACCCCACCCCATCTCATTAATTCACTCATTAACTATATTTATTCAATCTATGAATTAAGCTTTTATTTCTACATCTGATTGGCTTTTTAATATTTGACTTCATTCCCTGTTTGTTTATAGCGCTTTATCTGCCCTTGAAAATTCTGATTAGCATTGTTATAAATTCTTGTGTTCTTTGGCTCATTAGCTCTGCTACCTCTGGAATTAGTTATTCAGTTTATGTTTTCATCTTTCCAGTACTTAACATTAGTGTTCCACAGTTACCACTTTATTTTTCCCACTTCCCTCAGAGTATCAGCTATAGTTCCAACACTCTAATATGAGTTCCATCCGTATCCCACTGGCTTCCAGAACATCTCCAGAATGAGATTCAGAGGACAGAAACTCCAGTTGAGTTCCCCATCTTGATCTTGTCTGTCCAACCGCATGATCTGCATTTAATGTCCTCAAGATGTAGCCTGATTGTCTTTGTTTTCTTTTCATATTCAACAGAATTGGACAATGTTATAGACCCACCAAACATTTTCCATTAGCTTATTGAAGAAAGTTATTATTTTCTAGAGGTAAGTTAGGGATAGTGAACGGCAAAATCTATGTTTTTCCTGTGCCCTTGAATGGCAAAATCTATGGAAAGTTTAATTACTTCCAAAATTTCTTGGAATGGTAATATTTTGTGATTATTATAGTGATTCACCTATGCCTCCCCCCCTACCATGGGTTCTAAATAAACTTACACTGTTTGGTGTGCCCTTTTTATTCAAAACTTATTGAAATTTAGTTTTGAAGGTATTTTTTGAACTAAATTTTAACTGACAAAAGAGATAACTAAAGAGTCCTCTTGAGGTTTATAAACCAGTTTGGATATTGCTGTAAAAATACTATAATAGGCTTTTCATCATGGTGCACCCTAGAGATAAAACACTTAGAACTACTTCAAGAAGCTGCTAGAGCCCAAGGAGATTGACAGCCATCTGAAGGAGCTAAGGAACAATTAAAAGAATTTACCAAGCAGTATGAAAAGTCTGAAAATTATCTGAAGGCCATACAAAGTGTGGGGCACATTGCAGGTGAAGTGCTTAAACAGCTAACTGAAGAAAAATTCATTGTTAAAGCTACAAACTGACCAAGATATGCTGTGAGTTCTCTTTGACAGCCTGACAAAAGTAAGCCCAAGCCAGAAATAAGAGTTGCTTTGGATATGACTACACTCTCATGAGAAATTTCCAAGAGAGGTGGATCTATTGGTTTACAACATGTCTCATGAGGACCCCTGGGAATGTTTCTTATTCTGAGATTGGAGGGCTGTCAGAACAGATTCAGGAATTAAGAGAAGAAATAGAATTACCTCTCACAAACCCAGAATTATTCCAGCATGTACAAATAATACTTCCAAAAGGCCATTTGTTACATGGACCACTGGGCACAGGAAAAACACTCTTGGCATGAGCTATGGCTTGCCAGCTGGACAGCAATTTCCTGAAGGTTGTATCTAGTTCTATGGCAGACAAGTACACTGGCAAAGTGCTCATTTGATTTAAGAAATGTTTAATTATGCAAGGGACCATCAGCCATATATCAGTTTTATGGATGAAATAGATGCTACTGGTGGTCAGTGCTTTTCTGATGGTACTTCAGCTGACAGAGAAATTCACAGAACTTTAATGGAGTTACTGAACCAGATAAATGGATTTGATACTCTGCATAGAGTTAAAATGATCATGGCTACAAACAGGCCAGATACACTGGATCCTGCATTGCTGTGTCCAGGAAGATTAGATTACAAAAATACATATTGATTTACCCAATGAACAAGCAAGATTAGATATATTAAAAATCCATACAGGCCCATTACAAAGCATGGTGAAATAGATTATGAAGCAAGTGTGAGGCTTTCAGATGGCTTTAATGGAACAGACCTGAGCAATGTTTGTACTTAATGCAGGTATGTTTGCAATTCATACTGATCGTATTTTGTAATTCAGGAAGACGTCATGAAAGCAGTCAGAAAAGTGGCTGACTCTAAGAAGCTAGAGTCAAAATTGGACTATGAACCTGTGTAATTTACTGTAAGGCTTTTGATGGCTGCATGACAGACACTGACTTAATATAAAAACAAAATTAAGGAAAATAATGTATGTATAGGCAATGATCTCATTAAAAGTATATACATAAAATGTATGTGAATAACACCATAAAAATTAGTAATTCAGTAATCTAATTACTAAATCTAATTTAATTACTAATTAAAATTAGTAATTCAGTAAATCAAATTTTAAAATTGGTGCAGAAAAATTTTGTATGTTAATGTTGCATTTCTTGCAGCAGAAGTCTGGAGAGTATTCAAGCTTCTTATTTGCAGTGTGAGCATTTTATTAAATATTGAAAGTGGTTTGAGATGGTACTATGAGACCGTTTCTTATGACTTATTTTATATCATTTGTTTTCCTTCTCCTAAAAAAACTGAATAAAATCTGTTTGATTTAATTTTTTAAAAATACTATAATAGAAATGGTTAGGCAGTGTTCTACAGAATTATTTCTGGCTGTCCTTATGGTCTTAGTATATATATATAGATAGATAGATAGATAGATAAATATAGACATAGATATATCTTATCAGACATTTTTATAGAAGTACAGCCTTTTCTTTTTATCTGACATTGACTTATTCAACAAATATTTATAGGACATTTGCCATACTGTTGTTCTAGTTGTTAGGTATCCATCAAGAAAGATACAGTTCAGTGAAAAATCCATATAGAATGTAGGTTGTATTAAGACACAGGCTCAGTGACTCCCAGGCACCTAGAACAGTGCAAACACTGGTTGGATATTTAATGCGTAAATATCGAACACTAATTAAAGCCATGCAGAATGTTATGAAAAGAAAGTGCAGGTGTTGTGGAGCATATAAATGGGAGGCCTAACCCGCTTTAGAGGATTATGTAGTTTTCCAGCAAAAGAACTGACAGGTGAAAGGGACATTCCTTTAAAATGGTTATTGCATATTTAAGCAGTGAGCATCTGGTTTCCTTTCAGACCCTTTATTGTGCATAGGAGCTGCAATAACCTCAGAATTTTCAGTATTCATTTCCATAAATGAGAAATTAAATGAACTGCTTCTAATATCAAAATTTTATGGAAGTTTTTTTTTAAACATAGTTTAACAATGCTAATTTGTGTTTCTTGCTTCTTCCCTACTTGCGCTCCAACCCAATTTATTTTCTCACTTGCAGATGAAGGAGCCTCTATGCACCCTTGTGATGATACCTATTGTGGCCCTTTCCCAGAATCTGAACCAGAGGTCAAGGCTGTAGCTAACTTCCTCCGAAAACACAGAAATCACATTAAGGCATATCTCTCCTTTCATGCATATGCTCAGATGTTGCTGTATCCGTATTCTTACAAATATGCAACAATCCCCAATTTTAGCTGTGTGGTAAGTATTTGATCCTGTGATTTCACGCTTTCTTTCTGATGCTAATATGGTTCTTAGTACTAGTGATAATGGCAAACATGTATTTATTCAAATAAGTTATATACATATATAACTTATTTATTCTTTATAACCTTCATATACTAACTTTATTCTTCATAATTTTTATATATTAACTCATTTCTTCTTCATAACTTTTCATATATTAACTACTTTAGTCTACATAATTTATCCTCAGTTTACAGATGAGAAAACTGAGATCCAGAGAGATTAAGGAATTAGACTAAGCACACACAGCTACTAAGTGTTAGGAATTTAGCCCTAACTCTAGCTCCAGAGATATTTTTAACCACCATATTGCTTTTCAAATGCAATTATTTCAGACCTATTTGCATTCCTACCACAGGTTATACAGAAAAGATCAGGGCGGATTTGATTAATATTGCAGCTTTGGCCACATATGCCAGGCTGTAATTAACTTTATTGAGTCAATAATTGCTCATAAATTATAGTCTCACTCTCATTAATTAAAAAGCAAGCTTTAATATATAAGTTCTATTTGCTTAATACTACTAAGTCTCTGGACATGCATCTGAAAAGTCAGTACTAAGAATGAGCAGACTTTCAGGCATAAGATTACTTGAAAATGAAAAAGCAGAGGAGCTTTTGTTCTTACCACAAAAACCCAATAAGCTGCCCCCTACAGAGTGTAATTCATTGTAAAGTGAGTTCATCTCAGAGCCCATGACATCTAAAAGCCTATGAAGTTCAAAACCAAAGTAAACTAATAAGCAGTGTTAGAAGTCAGGATAGCAATTACCTTTGGGAGAAAGGAAGGGAGGCAGTGACTGAAAGGAGGAACAGAGGGGTTGTGGGTTGCTGCTGTTGTTCTATTCCTTGACTTGGATAATGAGTACAGGAATGCGTGCAATTCGCAATCGTTTGTTAAGGGTACAAACCCTGAAGTTTTTATACTCTTCTGTATGTATGTTTGAGGGTTTGTTTCCAACTCCTGACACCAAATATGTGATTCCTTTTCCAACATCACTCCTCAGACACCAGCTGGGTGTCTACCCAGTGAGTGACTCCACAGGTTAAGGTCTCAGTCCCCTAAGACTCTCCTACTTGAGCATCAACTGCAATCAAGGGGTTCTAGGTTCCCACCACCCTGTCCTCAGTTTCCCTAATTCACTACAACTCACAGAGCCTGACGAAATGCTTGACTGTTGCCAGCTGATAAGAAAGCACACAACTCAAGTAAGGGCAGAGAGCACAGAGCAGAGAGCTCCTGTGCCTTCCTATTCACGCCACCCGCCCGGCATTTTGATGTGTTCACCAACCCAAAAGTTCTCCAAACTCCATTTTTAGGGGATTTTATGGAAGTTTCATTATATTGGCACAGTTAAGTTAATTAGTAGCCATTGGTGATAAACTCAGTGTCAGGTCCCTCCGCCCACCCTACAGGCTAAAGAATAGGCCTGAAAGTTCCGACCACCAGATCACATGGTTGGGTCTTTCTGATGCCAGGCCCCATCCAGAACCTATCTGGGGCACCCAGCCACCAGTCAGCTCCTTAGCAAACAAAAGACACTCTGGCACTTCCTAGGGTTTTAGGAACTGTGTGTGAAGAATTAGGAAAAAAGGCTGAATACTTATTTTTTTATTATACTAGAATAAGAAGTTTTATAAAACTCTTCTTCCTTGAATCCCAGATCCTGTGGTTTTGGGAATTTCTGATCTAAATTTGCAAGATCTGGATGGAATAGAGGACATGAGGAGGACTTAAGAGAACCTAGGAAGGCTGGTATTCTGTCCAGAGGGGCTTTCTTCTTGGAATTCCAAGAATTATTTGCAAATTCTCTCCTTAGGAATATTGTAAGATGATCGTTGAATTCGACACTGCTATTCTTCAGTTTCTCTGTGGATCAAATAGGCTTTCTTTTTGTTGTTGCTGCTGCTGCAACTGGTGTGTTTATTGATCTGACTCCGTAAATTACCTCTATCATATTTCTATAGGCAACCCTCCAACCCTGTTAGACAGTATCTATTCATATTCTTATAACAGTTGATAAGAAATATGCTATACATTAAAACTATCATATGAGAATGTTCTCCATATTTTAAATTTATCTCTGAGCAAGAGTTCAGCCTATTTTCTTTTGTTGGTTTGAAAGATAGCATGAAGGTAGATGAAAGATTTACAACCAAGAAAGATGTGCCTCCCAAAATCTAGAGATTTGTTTGGGTTGGTTTGCTCGTTTGGTTGGTTGGCTTTGGTGTGTTGTTTTTTGACTGCCCTGGTGATTTGTACGCAGGCACTTAGCACTGAACTTCATCCCCAGCAGCCTCTCTTTTTCTTATCATGAGACAGGGTCTTTCTAAATTGCTGTTTCCCAGACTGTGCTTGAACTGTACTCAAACTTACAACACCCCAACCTCCCAGAGATCTCAGACTACAGGCATGTACCTCCACCCCCAGCTGTGATATTTTTGATTGTCACAATTGGCAATTGGCGTGTAGTGGGTAGAGGCGAAGGATATTGCTAACATCCTACAATGCACAGGACAGCGCCCACAGCAAAGAGCTATTCAGTCTAAAAGTCAATAGTGCCGTTGTTGAGAAATTCTTAAGTGGGTTAAGCATAAGCTAACTCATTAAAACTGAGATTAAAAATTCCCAAAATCTATGTGATCACTGAATGTTAGGTAGAAACCATGGAATTCTATTTGTTTCAAAAACCTTTCATCAGTATGGAAAAATCTGTGTCTCTGCTAACATTTTTAAGTAATTTATTAAACTGCTTTGAATATGGCAATATCTAAATTAAAATGTGTTCTTTAATTTGCTGAGAACCAATAAGTGAGGTCAGAGTCATTTTTAACAATTGAAAAGAAATGCTACAGAAAGGAGGAGTCACTTAAGTTTTTTAAATGGGTGTCTAACTTTGCCACCTTGAAAAATAATTCTTGGGAAAAGTTATGAAATGTCCACTATTTTATTTTTCTTTTGTTTGTTTGTTTGTTTTCTGGTACCAGGAATCAAACTTACGACCTTTCGCTTGCCAGACAGGTGCTGAGCTAAATCCCCAGCCCCAAATGTCCACTATTTTAGAGATAGATCACATCTAAACCCCATATTAACATGCATCTTTGTTCAAGTGAAAAAAGTATAGTGACCTCACAAGGTTAAAACTATACACATTATTTAAATAAGCAAAGAGGTCCCCTTTTTAATTCATAATAGCTTTTTTCATTAGTCATCTGAAATAATAAAAAAACAAAAGTCTCCTGACCAGCAGAATGCAGTAATCTTCTAAATGTAGAAATATCTGCCTTGGCACGCAATACTGCTAAGACAATTGGAGAAGACATCGAAATCTTCAAACACTCTCCATAAAGATAGCTCATTATAGTGTTTACATTTCTTTTCTGTTGGCTCTGTGAGAAAAATGTCATCCTCAGTGAGGTCAATAATAAAATAGTCTGCCAGCTCTTGAAGACTGGTGCCTGCATATCCACAAAGGGTGGTATTTGTTGCAAAGAGTGTCTTATCCTTCCTTGAGCTGAGTGAGAACAGCAGCTTGAAGCTCAGTGCAGCACACACCACCATGCTGTCCGGAGTGCTTCAATTAAAGTATTAAATTATTCACAGGAGAACTGAAACGGGAGAGTTGTATACTGGTTTCAATATAGGTCTTTTCCACTTGCTTGTCATACAATACTTCTCTACTTTTGAAACTAGTGCTTTTACATCATTTGAAAATGTTTCAAAAGAGCTAATATCCAGGTTCATGTTAAAATATCAACCTTTTAGGAACCTGATTGTATTTATTATTTTTCCTGATTTCTGGCACTGACAGGAATTTCTGCATAGTGGAAATACCTAACTAAGTTCCATGAGAGGTGTGTATAACCTTACAGGCCTGGAGCATCCTGAAATGGATGTCCTCATTTGCATTAGGGATAAACATAGCATAATGGAAGACATTCATTCCTGATGGTTTCTTCATTGATCCAAATGTGTTTTAAATACCTTGTACATGTCCACTGAAAAATACTTAAGGATCAATATGATTGTCAAAATACCCTTGCAGACTTGTGCTTATTCAACATTCATACAGGAAATATTGATTAAGCATCTTTTATACACAGCCACGTTGCTAAGGACTGGATATGAGTGAGCTATGAGGAAAACTGACATTGACCCTGCTCTATCAAACATTTTACCATATATAGAAATAGGTATCTCTCAACTGAAGTAAAGAGGACAGAACACTAAATTAGCCTCAGAAAATACAGATGCTTATCCCAGCTCAACCATTCTTTGCTATTTAACCCCATTTAACCTCACAAGCCTTCCTTTCTCATCTGTAAAATAGAAATGTTATTAGTCACTGTTTGCTTTGGTGATCATTCAAATGAAGATGTGTTCTAAAATATGTTGCAAAATGTTATGTGACTTGAATACTTCATTATCATCATCATCACCAGTAGTGGCAGTAGTAGTAATCGTAGTTTTTATAGCTGTTAAGTAATGTGCCTATCATGTTCTCTAGGTTGATGACCAATAAGGCTTAAGCAACACATCAGTGTTTCTTGAAATTTCAGTGCAATAGTACAAATGATATAGCTTGTCCATTTTGCCTTAAAGGAATCTGCAGCTTACAAAGCTGTGAAAGCACTTCGGTCGGTACATGGGATAAGGTACAGATATGGACCTGCCTCCAGAACATTGTGTAAGTTTCCTGTGAATGTTGTGTTAGAATTAGTTCTCTTGAACCAATATCCTGTATCCTGACTTCCCTCTCAAAAAGGAAAGAACGTGTTCTCTCTAATATAAAATTTGTGCCAAGGAAGATGAAAGGAACTTATGTCTGGTTAGTTTTACATAGCCTGTCAGAAATCATTATATCAACTTAACAAATTCTAAGCAGAGACTGTGCTAATTATGTGATAATGACTACAAGTTGAATTGAGATCTTATAACAGTAGAAAGTACCAGACTGGGTTTCTTGGGGCCAGGGGTGTAGCTCAGTGGCACCGTGCCTGCCTGGCAAGGGCAGGATACAGGATATTGAGTTCAATTCCCAGTACCAAAAAAAAAGAAGGGGGATTTCTTAAGTAATTGTAACTACTATAAGGGTGGAAAGGGACCTTGAGAAGATAATGAAGTAAATGTTTTAGCTCTACAACAGCTCCCTTTTTATTCTTTTCCTCCACTATTCCTATGAAAAGCTATTTCTTACATGAATCTTCAGCTGATTGCTCTCTTAAAAGATGATTTAAAAGTATTTCTTCTTTTATGTGAAATAAAAACCAACTGATATGGTGATATGGAGAGAACTTGGACACAGAACCATAGGATGTGTGTTCTCGTCTGAAATCTGCCAGGTGTGTCATCCTAGCCAACATATTTTTAATTCTGAGCTTCAGTTCCCACAACTTTAACATGAGGAATTGGATTAGATCATTTCTCATGCCCTTTCAAATCCTAAAATTTATTGACTGCATATCTGGGAAAATCTAGTGAGAAGTCTTATGTACATGCATATCTCTGTAAGTCTTATGTACATGATGGTACGCACACAGGCTGTATACGTATGTATAGATAATGGCATTTGACTATGTTCCTCAATAATGTAGCAGATTTTTTCCTTGATTTCTTATCTCTACCTGTATCTTACCCTTCACTTTCTTCAGCCTTCAGAACAAAAGCTTGATGTGTCAATTGACATTTTTTTCAGACAAATTTATCCTAATAATGAAACTAACACAGTCATCAATAAATTTTTTTTTCTAAGTTCATGATCTTATTCTCATATCGACTTTATAGAACTGTTTTTCAATAGTCATCATGAAAGGGGAAAAATTGTATTTTTTAAAAAATTATATTACCAACTGATACCAACATAATCATATACTCACAATTTTAAAACACTAATTTTTAAAAATCTTAGAGTTCACCTTCCAGCTTGGTGTAAAGGCATAGTCATCGTATTGTATTTACTAAGAACAGTCTGTTATCATAGAAATGAAGCTGTCACATCACCATGATGTACCTGTTGGTACATATTATCTCTGACTCTGACTATATGACTACTGTTTGTAATTCCAGTATACTCTAACAAGACTGACAGTGAAGCCACAGCCTATCTTTATCCTTAACTGAAGCAAAATGAATCTGAGAAAGAGCAGAGTAATTTAGCTGTCATCTTTACATAATGATTCCATCCTAACATCCTAGAAAAATAGCGTAAAAAGTAATCTTGTGTGAGTAAATAAACATACTCTAGATATTTAATAATAGTGTATCAAACTGGGTGATAGAAATTTCAAGGGAAAGGTACACCAAGATTTTTCTATGAAATGTATATTCATTTAAACAGAGCCTGTTATACTATAAACTATATGCTAGGTATTTGTGGGTAAAAAGATGTAAAGTAAAAAAATAGAAAATATATCCTAATAGAGTGATTTATCATTCACTTAGCTTCACAACTCTATGCAACAATTCTCCGAAAAGGGACAGTGAGGCACACAGAAGTTATGCAGCATTTGATGAGATTGTACATAGAGCTAGGGACAGTCTATGGCGCCCATGCTTGAAAGTTCTATCCTAAAAAGCTGGACCATTTGAGGTCACAGGAGTCAAGAAAGTGTTGCCAGAATGGTTTGTCAGCTATGCTAAGTGCTGTAGAGAGGCTTCAAGTAGGATCTGAGGGGAAGACAGAACAAACAAAAAGAAAACCAAAAACTGAGATAAGCCTTTGGTCACTGGTGACCTTTAAGAACAAAGTTTAATAGAAGGATAGAAGCAAGAATCAGACTGAAAATGGTTTAAGATCAAACCAAAATCACATATAGATTTTCTTCTGAGTTATCAAGAAGAAATAAGCCAAAGAAACTGGAACCAAAGAGGTATGGCAGGATCATGAGGAAAAAGTGGTCCTGGAGCATTTTGGTAGATACAGATGCAAGAGAGGGGATTCATGAAGGAAACAAGGTCCTGGAAAAGGAATCCTCATGTTACGGAGAGGGATTAACATATGGCACCAAGCGGTGATACAAGAAGACACAAGCAGCATGTCTGAACTGGAAGGAGAAAATTCAGGGGGCTCTGATGTCAGTAAAGGAGGTGATGGGTTTAGAGTATGGGGCACAGTGGTAGAGTGTGGGGAAGAACAAGAAGAGAATGCACAAGGTTTAGTAAGTGCAGGATTACAAAAAGGAGCAAACAGCACTGGGAGCAGAGAAAGTCTCCAGTGATTAAGCAGTGTGGATTAAGCAGTCAAGGAAGAATCTAGAAACTACAGGCTTAAGTAAAAGCAAAGAACAGTAAAGGCAGGAATGAAAAATGGGGAGGTAGAAAAAAAATGAGGTGATTTTCTGGAAACAGAATTCCAATATTCTAAATAAAGTAGACATGAAGGTAAATATTAATGCTATCCTACTAGCAAAGCATTAGTACATAGAGTAGATCTTCAAAGACGATAGCAGGTATGATTTATAAGTTCCAGAGCCAGATGCCAAAGAACTACATTATACTTGTTGAAAAGTTATTTCACTGGAGTGATTAAGTTTAGCATAGTAAGCAAGCAAAATACATACATATTTTGGAAATTATGCAAACTCTGCAGTGAAGCTAATTCTATATTTATTTTTACTTTTAGATGTAAGCTCTGGTAGCTCAATGGATTGGGCTTACAAAAATGGAATACCGTATGCATTTGCTTTTGAACTACGTGACACTGGGCATTTTGGATTTTTACTCCCAGAGATGCTCATCAGACCCACCTGTACAGAGACCATGCTGGCTGTGAAGAATATCACAATGCACCTGCTAAAGAAGTGCCCCTGAGTCAGGTCAGCCCCCAGATGGACAGCTGATTCTAACCAAAGTATCTAGCAGGTTAACTGATTCTAACCTGCACAATACCAGGCGGAAATTGATTTTAAGGAGAAGGAGGACTACTTAGAATAAACATATCTATGGAGTTTTAAAAGATCATCTCATGCAATCTAACCCTTTCCAACAACAGACAGTAGTTATCTCCAGGACTACAGATATCTGTCCTGTCATCTTCCTGGAAATGGAAGTCTATGTAAACTTTCTAAGCCTCAGTGTCCTCATATTAAATATGTATTGTGAAGAATAAGTGAGATTATTAGAGTAAAGCTCCTAATTCTGTGCTCAACACTTCAACATTTACCTTTTCTTTTAAAAGTGGAATTCTCAGAATCTAAACATAAGTTGCTCTCTTTTGCTGTATAATTATAGGGCTATGTTATCACTCATACTAGGGAATGAAAATGAGAATAATCTAAGGTCTTGAAAAATTGTATGTTTATTATATTAAGAAATATAATTGGGCACTTTCTATTTCAAAAAATTCCATTTGCAATGAGAACCAAGTAATTAAATGTTACTAGTATCCTAGATTTTAATTGAGGGCATGAGGTTTACTGAAGGGAAATCCTCGACTAATTTGTACTTTTCTTGAGACAAGGGAATTTGAAAATGTCCCTTCCCTGTAATCAGCTAAGAATTCTAAAAGGATATGAAGTGCATGCTTTTTCTTATAACAAACTAAGCTATGCTGTTTTATTGTTTTACCAATAAAGAACTTCTACTGGGGACTTTTTAAAACATTCGCTTAGTTCTTATCATTCAGTTTTTCTCTGCTTCAAAGGTCTAGAATATTGAAATTCTGTTTCCAGAAAATCACCTCAGGCCAGAAATTGAGTGAAGACAGGAACCTAGAAAGGGAAGTGGTTCAGTTTTAATTCTGAAGCATTTGTCAAAGCAGTTGAGTACAGACTGTTTTTCACAGTATTTTGAGGAGTGGGGCCAGAGAACAAAGCCCAAAGCTATTCCATGTAGGGAAGTCTAATATGCTAATGAGTAAATACACATGCCAATGAGCTCTGGGAGTCCTGAGGGCTGTACCTTCAGTGTGAGGGTTAATTAGAAATACATCTCCATACTACTTTCCTAGTGGACCTCTAGAAAAAATGATCATTTTGAGTTTGGGCAAGAATGCAACAGAGGGAAATTGACACTGAGCATTTGAAACCACAAGTTAGCCCTCACACACAAGCTTATAGCCCAAATTCAGACTGCTTAAATGGCCTGATAAACCCTCAACCAAGAATTTAATTCAGGTTAATCTCAGAGTGGTAATACCGCCAAGCATTTGGTAGAAGCAAAGAAAATCCTCTTAGGGGATTTGCTTGATCAATACATATCATGAATACCAGGATAAAGAGATAAGCCTAAAAACTTCCAGAGAGGAAGAAAAAGACCTTAGACAAAGGAAAAAGGACATAAGTAGTGTGAAACTTCTCAACAGCACCACTAACACTTAAAGACAATGAAGAAATATCTCAGAGTTTTGAGGAAAAAGAGTTACATGCAGCAAAGCTATCAATGAAATATGAGGCTAGAATACAAACATTTTCATAGAAATTTCTCTCAAGAAACTCCTGGACAATGCGCTCCACACAATGAGAGTAAACCAAGGGAAAGATGTAGGATCCAAGAACCTGAGGAACCGAACCTAGGAAACAGACACGGAGAAGACTCTTGCGATAATGGTAAAAGGAACAGCTCCAGATAACAATTTTGTCAGACTTAGAGCACAACTATCTTGAAAGAGCAGAAAGAGAACAGCAAGAAGAGGAATAGCAGGAAGAGACTGCAGATGAATGTGAAGATAAACGTGAAATGGATAGAAAACTTAAATATGTTCAGAGGTGATTTGTACTTAGAATCTGGGGGTAAACGCCTAATAAAAACACAGAAAGCCAAGCAAACAAAAAATATACTTTTAACTGGTGAAAACAATGAATTCTATAAGAGAAGAAATGAAATCCTATTATGCTGTGTGACTTAAGTATAAGTAATACTTACATAGTCAAAACAGTGCTATTTAAAAGTATGACAGAAGGATAGGAGGAAGGAAAATGTATGTGAAAGGAAGGGGTACAGGAGAGTGATGTCCTTGTCTTCCATAGAAGGAAATCAATAAACAATCTGTAAGACTCAAATTTCAAGAAATATTTGTATGTACATTTTATTTAGAAATTAGAAAGTAAGTACTAACAGAAATAATTAAAAATGGTAAAAATTATTGAACTGATGAAAATGAATTGGGCGTAAGGGGGATGAAACAAAGGACTATACTTTGTGATATAAGCCTTGTCATTTCATTTAAAAGATTTTTTGCATTAGGAAATACACGTGCCAATGAGTATATTGTTTTGAAGGGGAAATAACCTTTTGAAACAAATTGCAGTGGCCGGAGATATAGCTCAGCGGCACAGTGTCTGACTGGCAAGTGCAAGGTCCTGGGTTTGATTCCTAGTACCGAAAAAAAAAAAAAAAACAGAAAACAAAAACCCAACAATAAAACAAACTGCGAATTACTCACCAGATAATATGTTCATGTTTATAAAATGTATGTACATAGCTTCTATAAAAATGTCAAAATCAAAATTTAAAAATATTATTTAAGTTTATATAGGAGTACCTAGCACAAAAATTAAAATATTATAAATAATCAGGAAACATTAGTTTTGAATATATTTTTCCAGTCTGATTTATCTTTTTATTGTGTAGTCCCAGTGATATATTTGCAGTAATAGATCTCTCAGACAGGTTTTAGGCTTGGTCCTACTAAAGAACTAAACACTTAATTTGCTGATGCAAATTTAAACTTCAAGTCTTCCCATGTAGCAGTAAACACCCAGAGATGATCAGGGGCCAGGAGGCTGCGTTATACTAATTTCTACCAGTAGAATCGGCAAAAGCCTAAGTGTACAGAACAGTTATGAGAGTGGAGACTTATAAACACCTCCAGGAATGGAAAGGTGCTGCTTATCCAAAAACCTGATTAGATGCTGACCTCATCATGGGACTTTAATGGACCCTTTGGTGTCAGGAAAATTTCCCCTTTGCATAAGAGCTGATCTCAACCTGTTAGCTCCCCGTGTTGAGATCCGCTGTTACAACCGAACAATGAACAATTCTGGAGTGTCTGGGGAAAAAAAAAGAAAACACAAGGAATGTATAGATAATCCTAAAAATTCATATTTCATTATATTATTAAATTTTATCCTTACCAAACTCTGTACAATAACAGCTGTTAGCAAGTTAGTACCAAGAATTAAAATTTATTTTATGTTATTTGTCCTCACCTGTCACTGTATAATTACTAAGAATATTTTTTCAAAGTCAAAATAAGGGCAGAAGAAAATATAGAATCTGAGTAGTACACAAATTTCAGAGTATATGGTTCATTATCCATATATAGGTACAGGGTATATGGTTTATTATCCATATGTAGATACAGGGTATATGGTTTATTATCTATATGTAGATGAAATTTTGCCCTGATGAACACCATGCAAATTCTTTTCAATGACTGCTCTCACATTTCTGTAGCACTGTGTACATTTTATGGCTCGTGTGATATTTACGTCAATATCTGCTTAAGAATATATGAATGTTTATTTCAACTGTAAGTAGCACATGCACCTTTTAAAATATTTTAGCATGACACTTTTTCTCCTATTCTTATAAAAGTAATTTTATAGATTCTAGCTATACTGAGTTTCAATTGCCAATTGGTTTTAGTGAGTATTTTAAGACTAAAGTAATAAAGCACCCTAATTGGGTGGTTTAAAACAATAGAAATTTACTGTCTTGAGGTTCTGGAGTCCAGAAGTCTAGAATCAAGGTGTCACCAGGGCCATGCTACCTCTGAAACTGTAGGAGTATCCTTCCTTGTCTTTTCCTAGCTTCCAGTCATTTGTTAGCAATCCTTAGCCTTGCAGCTGTGTAATTCCTACCTTTGCCTAAGTTCACAGGGCATTCCTCTGTCCTGTATCTCTGTCTTCAAATGGCAGGTGTCTTATAAGGAAAACAGACATACTGATGTGCAGCCGCCCCACTCCAGCAGAACGTGATCCTAATTATGTCTGCAACGGCCCTATTTCCAAATAAGGTCACATATTGTTTGAGTTCTTGCATTCCCAATAAGATTTTTTAAAAATAGACTATTAAAAGAAACAGAATGATCTACTCTTTCTCTTTAAATAAAAGAAGTGTAGTTCAAAGCATGGTGTGCTTTTCTTAACACTGGAAATGTGTTAGTTTTAATGGGAGCTGTATATTACCTTAGCTCTCGATAATCATTTCAGGCTGCTGCATCACGAAAAGTATTTGCAGATAAATTATACTAAATCAAATCTAATTGATTAAATCAGAATTCTATGAAATGTTAATTAAAGTATGTTGTAGATTAAGCACAATAATTACATGAGTGATTGTATTTAATAGGATATTTTCATGAATCAGAATATTGCATAATAAACCTGAAAACAGCTACATTGAATACCTAATGTATTTCACAAAACACATTACACTGAGAACTGCTAAGACATCTGAATAACAACACAGAAAAGTAAAGTAGCCTGCAGATCTCTGAAGGCAGATCTTATTTAACTCCTCATTTTCTACACCCAGATTCTGTTTCTACAGTTACAACTCTTCCTATTGGATAATAGACACCTATGGAGGTGTCTGCCCATAGCGTACATCCTTGTTTCACCTGCTCAGGGTAAGTGAGGCAGCCACATCTAATTACAATCCTAGACACTGTGATCTATGGATGCTGTAATTAGGTTTATAATTTAGTTATGAGTTAAACTCAGAGGCTAGTTTCATGATCTACCCACATAACACTGAAGCAGTATATTCTAAGTTTCAAGCTAACTCAAGAGTAAATGCTTCCACAGCTGGAAAGAATTGAAAAGATAACAACCTCTCCATGAAAGTGAGCAGGCAGTCTCACATGTGCACATCTGGGAAAATAACTTGCAACAAACAAGTGATAATTGTTAGAATCAGTTAATGCTATAATTTGGATATATGTCCCCAAAGTTCATGAGTTAGAAACTTAATCCCCAAATGCACACAATAACAGTGGAAGTAGGGCCTTTGGGAAGTAATTAGGATTAGATGAGGTCATTAGGGAAGTGGCTTTCTAGGAAGAGAAATCAAAGCTGGCAGGCTTGTTATCTCACCAGATGATGTGCTCCACCATGCTTTGATGCAGCGGGAAGGCCCTCATAAGATGCTGGACTTCTTAGCCTCCATAACTATAAGCCAAATAAAGCTTTATTCTTTTTAATTCAGGCAGTCTATAGCATTCAGTGATAGCAACAGAAAACAGACTAAGACAATTATTAATTCTTTGGGGTTTTTTTGTACTGGGAATCGAAATCAGGACCTCATGCTTGCCAGACAGGCACTGTGCCACTGAGCTATATCCCCAGCCCTAAATTTCTGTTATTGCTATACTTTTGTTAGAAGCATGGATCCCTATTGTCCTAGAGAAGACTCTTTAGTAATTTAGAGATACAACCAATATTCTAAGGGAGACTATCTGATGTCTGCTAAGTAGGAATTGTGTTGCTGGATATGTTTGTATCCAACTCCCTATTTCAAGCAATATCAGTCTGAAATATTATGTAAATTTTTCATTTGGTGGGGCAGCAAGGATGGTTTAGTGGCTTTGTGTTTGGGTCAACAGAATTATACAAATAATAAATATTTGAAGTAAATGTCACTGAACCTGTCACAAG